TTAGCAAGTCTATTATAGTGTGTCATGCAGATATTTGTGTGTGCGCCCAAGTGTGAGAGAGGGATTTATTAACTCTTTTCATGTACACATGGCAGGACTATGGAACCATTTGGAAAAATGTCACAGGGAGTAAAGCTAAGGGCTGAGGTTTTGCAAAGCAGACTAAGGAGCTGCAATGTGCAGCAGATTTAATTAGCAAAAATCTTGTCTCCAGGACTTCAGTGGGTCTCTATAGTTTGCTTTGAAAGTCTCATCCTGGAAGCTAAGCGTTCACTATGCCCTACTTCTTATCATTATGCCTGCATCAGGAACAGTCTGTGTGGTGTCACGAGACTTTTCAGCCACTTTCTGATGCCCAAGAAGAAGCTGCTGTAGCATGATCTTGATCAGAAGAAGTTCTTTCAGGCATGGGGAAGCACAGAATCAAGGGTAACAGCTTTATATTGCTGCAGTCCAGCAGCGACCTAGATCAGGTATCCATCTAGGATAGATTTCCTTCAAAACCACCCACCCACCAGTCAAGCATCTTAGCTTGATGAGAGAACCCTACAGAAATAACCAACGACTCTTTGCATGGGGCCTCAGGGCATGTTACAAAAGGGTGTGTGTCATCCTGAGAGCCGCTTAGCACCACAGAGGATCGGACAGGAATGGTGCAGATTACCATCATATATCAGACAGCTGTGTAATGCCCAGGCTGGGTGCTATTACTGCCTCACCTAAGGGTGCTTTATGCCAGAATGTATGGGTGTAATTATGTCCCAGCCTGCATCTGGTGACTGGCTTGACAAAAGCACTGCATCCTGGAAGTCACCCAAACCTCTGCTAAAAGCTTTGGAGTCAGATGTCACCAGTGCTTGAACGATGCCTGGAATCGGCGTCTCCTAAGCAGGCTGCACACGATGACTAGTTTACAACTGAGCAACAGACTGTTCAGGTCTGGCAGCATCACATCACCCCAGCAATGGACCACTGCAGACTGCTCCTTACACTGGGCTGTCCAGACATTTCAAACTAATATGGTGGGACAAGCCAAGCTTGTGGGAAAGAAAATCATTTCTCCTCCTTACCTGTTAAGCCCATTTCTAATTACTTGTCTTTCTGGGCAATTGGTTTAGCTCCTCTCCAGCTCAATACCACCAGACTGGAATAATAATGAGCTCATTCCCTCCCCTCCCCTCCCCTCCCCTTGTGTTGCACACAGCAGCAATGGGAAGCCAGGATTTTGCAAGGGTTAGCACCAGGGAGCAAGGACCCAGGACCTTATCTAGGGAAGAGTGGTTAACTGAGGAGTAAGTTTCCTGCATTTGGCCTGAAACTAAATGCCGAATTCAGACTGTGCTGAGGGGAGGGGACTGAGCCCAGCTCTGAGGCGTGCAGCCTTCAGGAGTCATTCTGACTTCATGAAAGCAGATGCCACTCCCAGTGTTTCTTCTGGAAGTCCACCGAACAGACTCTTCAGGAGCACAGCCAGAGTATGGACTGACAAGTGGGGTGGAGCGACTGTGGATTGGGTGAGCAAATCCTCTATCCCTGTCTAGTGAGACTCTGCCCATCTGAGTGGTCTATACCCAGCCACAATGTATGTCCAGAAGGCAGCCTCCCTTTATCTGAACCATTCGTTTCAGTGACTGTAGTTCACTTATCGCTTTAATTTCAATCCTTTGCCTCTCCACACACTCAGAAACATTCACAATTTTGGCAAGAAAATAGTCTTACAGATGAAGCAAAGCCTACAGGGCAGCTTATATTCTAGTACAGTGGGCCAAATTCTACCCTTTGTAACCTGAGAGACTCTGCTAACTTGTGAATCAGGGCAAGATGATGTTTCTCTGCCAGCAGATTTTGAAATGCTTAAGCAAACATCTTTGCTTGATGGATAAGACCCTGTCACAATGGAAAGTTAAGGTGAAGTAGCTGTGACTATGAAGCGATAGCAGCACCTAGAGGGCTCTGACCATCACGTGACTTTCTACTGCTTGACCGAGACTCCCACTCTGCAAAATGCAACATGGAGCAGCTCCAAGACCTCCAGCTCATCACACCACAGCCATTGTACAGAGGTCACTGAACTACTGACCTGAGCTGGAATCAAAGAGGCAACTGGCTCTCACCAGGCCCCTGAGCTGTCCGAGCAGGCTGGAAATCGACACTGAAAGCAAATGACAAAGCCCAAGCTTTTATTTGTGGGCAACGGCTTAATCCCCCTAGCTGCTTCCTCCGCCATGGGAGGCTCATCTGCATCATCTTTTCAGTGAGGCAGAAAATGTGTGGCCTATGCAGATTAAACTAAAACAACAACCAGGCACTGTCATGCGGGGGAGTGAAGAGCTCTGAGAAGCAGTCTCAGAGCTCCTGTCTGCCACCTGCTGAACCATTTGTTAAAGACCACAGAGATAAAGCTTTGCATCAAGATGGAGATAAAGCTTTTGCCCCTACCCCAGCCCCTCTTCCTCACTGCCTTCTATTGCACATGGAGGCTTCTCCATGGGGTGTCCTCCCTAAGCCTTTTAAAATTCAAGACATTATCCAGACATCATGTCATCCTGCTGCAGCTGCTCCTTGATTGGGTGGTACAATTATTTTCAGCAGCAGCAGCTTTATCAGCAAGAGTCTTCAGTGTTGAGTTCACTTTGCAGAATGAAAATCAAGCAGGGATGTGTCCAAACAGGGGCTTTGGGCAGAAAGCCTAGTCAGAAGGGCACAAAATTTATGCTTCAGGCCTCAGCTGGGGTTGAAGGCCTAAATGCCAAGAGGAAAATTTGGACTGGACAGCTCTGAAATCTCTCGGGAAATTCTGGTGCTACATGGTGGAAATCTCATGGAGTCTGCTGGTTCCTCAAGGGTCTGAAATCAAAACTGGTTTCCCTTCCCACTTCAGACCCAATCTGGGACAAGGGCTGGGTAGAGACTTCAGACCTGGAATTCAAATTCTGGCTCCATTTGCTTCCTGGATTGAAAGGGATTCAGAGCTGAGGGCCTGGTTTGGGACCAGGCTTGTATGCTGAGCCAGGAGCTGGGGCACTGCAGTAGAGTGAGCTGCTAGGGAAAAGAAAAGCATGTCTAAAGAGTGGCCTGTGCTCTTAAGAAGAAATACTGAAGAAATACTACGGAGACTGCAAGGGCTACCTAACAATGCTGGGCACAGCTAGCTCCAGTTGAGCCCAAAGCCTGTAGCTTGCTCTATTTTACAGGGGGCCATCCCTGCCCTGAGAGGTACCAGGGGGTAGAAGGCTGCGTGTTTTGTGCTGCCTCATTGGGACAGGTTTTCATGGAGGTGCTCAGGTCTAGCTTCCCTTTCAATGACTGAGGGCCTTGGCACTGGCTAGCCCTGTCTTGGCAGCCAGTGCAGGCTTGATGGGGAAGCCAGTTACACCTCAGTTGTCTGATACCCAGGTTCTAATCTAGACCTTCTCCACTTCTATTTCCTAGGCTCTTCCTAGGCTTCACACTACAAGGAGCACAACCACATCTTCTAGAATCATTTATAAACATTGTTTCCCTGGCATTATCACCTGGGTCTAACTGGGTTTTAAGAACCAAATCCTAGGCTAGATAGGAACTAGCCATGGAACTGGTTTTAATCTGGTCAGGTCTGTTCCACACTAGCTATGAAAACCAGGGGAGCATCTTTCTGGCCAAAGAATTCATAACTTGTGCTGCTGCTTTCTTTTAAGCACTTCCCCCTCCTTTCCTTCAGGGGTCACATCCTAGTGAGCACACACAATGGCATACACATTGAAGCATGCAGGTACTCCATGTAGCCTGTATTAGGATCTGTACCTTAGAAGCCCCTGGTGTGTTAGGTGATCTAGACTAGAGTGCATGGGCAAGCACAGCAGTCACTTACAAAGCACAAAGTCCTTCCTTGAGCAGTGCTCTGCACACACACACTGGGGCTGCTGGGAAGAGGGAAGCACTGCATTTGAGGAAACTGAGCACTAAGTTGCCATTTAGGCTCCCCTCCTGGCACTACCACTGGTCTCCTGGGTGATCTTGGGCAAGTCACTGCTCTACTCTGTGTCTCAGTTTCCTAGTTTCCTAGTTGGTAGGGTCGGAAGGGACCTGAGCAGATCATCAAGTCCGACCCCCTGCCTTGGCAGAAAAAAGTACTGGGGTCAAATGACCCCAGCAAGGTTTTTGTCTAGCTTTGTCTTCAAGACCCCCAGGGTAGGAGCCAGCACCACTTTGCTTGGAAGTTGGTCCCAGATCCTAGCCACCCTGACCATGAAGTAGCGCCTCCTGATGTCTAATCTGAATCTACCCTTTGCCAGCTTGTGACCGTTATTCCTGGTCACTCCTGGTGGCACTCGGGGGAACAGGGACTCCCCCAGTGCCTGCTGGTCCCCTCTGACTAGTTGGTAACAGGCCACTAGATCCCCCCTCAGCCTTCTCTTCTGGAGGCTGAACAGGTTCAGGTCCCATAGCCTCTCCTCGTAGGGCCTGCCCTGCTGCCCCCTGATCATGTCAGTGGCACTCCTCTGGACCCCCTCCACATCCCTCCTGAAGTGCGGCGCCCAGAACTGGACGCAGTACTCCAGCTGCGACCTGACCAGTGCTGCATAGAGGGGGAGAATCACCTCCTTGGACCTGCTTGAGATGCATCTGTGAATGCATGACAAGGTGCGGTTGGCCTTCTTGACCGCGTCCCTACGCTGCCGGCCCATGTTCATCTTGGCATCAATAAAGACTCCAATATCTTTTTCTGCCTCTGCACTGACGAGAAGGGAGTTCTCCAGCCTGTAGGTATGGTGCTGGTTCTTCCCCCACAGGTGCAGCACCTTGCACTTGTCAGCGTTGAATCCCATCCTATTCTCATCCGCCCACCCCTGTAACCTGTCCAGATCCAACTGCAGCCTGTCCCTCCCTTCTAGCGTGCCCACATCCCCCCACATCTTAGTGTCACCAGCAAATTTGAACAGGGTGCTATTTACCCCCTTGTCCAAGTCACTGATGAAGATGTTGAACAGTGCGGGCCCGAGGATGAAGCCCTGGTAAGTCATAGGTATTCTTCTGAACCTTGGACAATGTCACCCAATACAGAAGTGTTACTTAGGCCCACCTTTAGGACTTGTGAGCTATACTGCTCTCTAGGCCCTAGGCAACAGGTAAAGGCTGATGAAAAAAGATGGGAGAGGCTTAATGACATGGCACTTGACTTCAGAAGACGATATTCTGGAGAGGTTCCTGCTGGGGGAGAGTGGTTACATGTCAGCTATAAAGGGTCTGACTTTAGTAACAGCGGGCCTGTACAAGCATCATATGAAGGCAGAGCTCAAAGCAATCAGCATTCCTATAGCCACCTCGGGATTTTGGCCTTCTTCTCTTAAAGCTGCAGGGTGTTTGTTGTTACCAGCATTAAGAGAAAATCTACAGGCACTGGGCTCCCATATGGACAATGAGTGACCAAAATCTTTGCCATTCACCAGGGGTATCAAACTCACCTTCTGCCCTGGGCCAGGTCTGTACAACAGGTATTGCTTGTGGGTCGGGGTTCAGCCTGGGGACCAGGGTGGCTCCTGCTGCATGCCCCATGCCAGAGTTGGGGCAGTTGCTCCTGATATGTTTCATGCTGGGGTGGCAGCTCCAGGTCTAGCATGGAGCACACAATGGTGGCAAGTCCAGCCTATCATCCAGTGTGGCAGCAGTGGTGGAAGCAGAGCCAGTAGATGTGGATCTGTGGTCACAGTGGCAGTGATGGGTGAAGCGGCCAGAAGGTGACCAGGACTGTCAGCCCTTACTCATGCCTCATGCCATCCATCTTCCAGTGGCCAACTTCCAGTGGCCTGTCAGTAGCCTGGTACGCCATGTTTGACACCCTGCTGTACACAGCTTGCAATCCAAAAAGGGAAGACAAAGGGAAGCTGAGGCACAGAGATGGTCAGTGACCTACCACTGTCAGCAGGGCAGGGATAGAGGCAGGACAGGACTCACATCTAAACCCTGTCCAGCTGGCTCCATGAGCCCAAAACAATAGTCTATGTGCTTTCTCCTCTGGCTCCCAACAATTCAAATGCCCTTCTAAAGCACATCAGTCGATGACATGGGTTTGATAACTCCCTTGTAGGCTAACAGCTTTGCATCTGCCTTGTCCCCAGTGGGGTTCCATAATGGTTCCACAATCTTTCACCATGATGCTAAGGGCCAGACACAACCCTCATCTTACACTGGTGAGCATAAGGGGACCGCATTGACTTTGTAGGTGCCTCCATTTAGATGTGGCTGTGCCTAAAATTGCAGTTCCAGGTCCCAGGAGGGTGATCCAGATCCACAGGCTGAGGCAGCTCAGCTTCCATGTAGCCAATGCAGAGTTCTAAGGGACTCTTGCGAGATTCAGTTCACCTAGCTGCTCAGGAGGGAGGTGCCTACCTGACCCAGAATGCCTGACAGCACCACCTCCTTCAGCATGAAGCACAGAGCCCCCTGAACAATGGCAGAGGTGCCCAGCTGTAAGAGAATTGCCTAGGAAGCTGGAGATCTGGATTCTTAGCCCTGCCTCACCCAGTGTGGCCACTTTCCAAGAGGGTGTCTCACCCACCAGGCTGGGTGGGGTTCTCACATTCCTCCTATTGAAGCTGGGCCACTGGGCAACCATAAGTGCGGAGTCATGCATCATGAGTCACAGAAAAGAGCAATCAGGAGGGAGTGACTATTGCTCTCCTTCTCCAATCTAGTCCTTACACACCTACTTCAATCACTGGAACCACCTAGGTTCCCTTACTGCTTGGGATTTTTTTGATAAAATGCTCTTTGGTTGGATAAATGTCAGTTTATTGAACCTGAAACGTTCTGTGCAAACATGTTGGATTCGATGAATTTTTGAGGGGAAAGTTTCTCAGCCTGAGGATGGAACGTGGTCAAAGCCAGCAGATGTCAGACCAGGTTCACTGCCAGGCTTGAGATGTGGATTCAAGTCCCCAGCTCTGCTAGATTCAGACCACAGGCTCAACCCCAGGTCTCCCAGATGTGTCCTCTCCTTACCTTACTACTGACTAGACTGGGATATCGCTTTTGGTTTAATTTATTTGGGAATTTTTAAAAAAGCTTTGCTTTCTAACGTCAAATTTTCTTGCAAACTGGAATTCTGGTTTTCTAAGCAGTCCTGTTCACAGCCTGGAATAACAGCTCACCTCCATGCAACATCTGCCTCTTAGAGTGTAGATGTTTTCCAAGACCAAGCTCCATCTGGGCAGCGAAATGTGCACTGCAGCACCGGTTTTGTTCTTTACGAGGCATAAAAACCCTCCAGATGGAGAAGGCAATCCCATGGAAGCAGCACCAGGAATGATTGAGGAATGATTAACCTCTGTTAATCTCCTGAACCTCCTGCCTCAGAGATAACTGGCTATGTTGGAGAACCCACCCCTGCATGAGTCCCTCATTAGCAGTGTCTCATCACTGTCATCCAAAGCGTGTTGTTTGTGCCCTAAGACCATGACTCCTGGAAGTTCTGCCGGGCCACTCCTGGAGTGAGGACACTTTCTGCTGGAGAGGGGATGTCCACAGGCAAAGTGCTGCTTTTTTTTGGGTGCAATATTCAAAGGAGCTGTCACAACTCAATGTGCTGTGAATGGGTCATCCTCCTGGTGACAGTTTACAATGACAGGTTCTTCACCCTATTGACCAGATCTTGTGCTGGATGTCTGGGATTCCTTGGGTCAAGCCATGAACCTATGAGATAGCAGCATTTACTTGCACAGCTGGGGCCTTCCAAACACATCTGGAAAGACTTGACATCACTAATTGCGTGGAGGATACTGAAAGTCATACATACATCTTTCCTCCCACAGGATTTATCACAGGCTGGCTGACAGCATGGACACCCCTTGCTGGATGCTTCCGTGGTGGAGGACATCTTTGTTCATCTGAGGCTCTGAGTGCATTGGGAGCTGTACGGTGCTGAGAGATGGGGGACACCCTGCTTTGTGTCTCCTCCCCTAGAGTTGGCCATCTCCAAGTGAATAGAGACAGTCCAGATCAGCCAGTGATTGTACATGGAAGAAGCAAATCCTCTTCTGTGCCAGCATCCAGTGAGATCTGGTTCTCTTATCCAGATTTCATCAGTCCCTCTGACTGAGTGTCCCCTGACACCTCACGCTGATTCCCCCCAACCCCACTTCTTCCCACCCCTGCCCCTCCCCCTCCCCTTAATGAATCCCTCCATTATATAATTGTGCTCAAAAAATAAAGGAAATAAAGCACGAATGTCTCTGACAGGCTTGAGCAAAATAAATAGATGCAGCCCAAACCAAACCTTCCACGCTTCTGCAAGCTCCTTTGTTCAGGAAGGCTCCCTCCCTCTCAGGGATCCAGTCCATGGTCTCTGTTAAGCGCTTTGTTCCCTTGCTCTGCCTGCCCTGATTCTGCCCCTCCCCTCCCCTCCCCTCCCCCACCCTGGTGTTTGCTTGTAGAAATGAGAAGACACCCCCCACCCCCACCCCCTCCCAAAATCCAAGTTTTGGAGTTTGCTTCACCCCACCCCAGTAGCTGATGGGGGTCTTGTCTGTCCAGTTGCCAGGGTCCCCCCTGGGAAGCACATCCTCTTGGCCTGCTGCACCTTCTCATAGATGCCTTCCTGGAGGGCAATGATAGGGGACTGCCACTGTTGGGCAGGAGTCTGGACCCCCTCCCTCCACACTTGAGGTCCATCTTTTAGCAGCTGCCTTGGTTGCTCCTTGCCCTCCTTCCCAGAAGCCACAGCTCCTGGCTCCCCTGGGTCTCACCATGCCACAGCTGGCTCCCTCTGGACCAGGATGCAGGATGGGTGCAGAGGCTGGTGTTGGCTGCAGCCTGGGTGGCCCAGGCCAAACAGTGGGGCAGGCTGGATGGGAGGAGAGGGGACGGAGGGAGGGGGCGTGCAGCTGTGTGTGGTGGTGGTGATGGTTCCAGTGGGCCACTCCTGCCCTGGCTGGCTCAGAACCCAGCGCTCTCTGAGCTGCTGTGGCTGTTGTAGCTAGGGCTCCGGCTCTGGCTCCGGGAGCGGCTTGGAGGACTGCGAGTCCGGCTGCGGCTGGTGCTGTAGCTGTCATAGCTCCTACTCCGGCTCCGGCTGTATGAGTAGCTGCTCAGGGAGCTGGAAGAGGAAGGGCTGGGTCTGTAGTAGGGGATTGGACGCTTGCGAGCACTGTGGAGGAAATGGAAAGAGAGTCAGTGTGGGGCAGTGGGTGCTGGGCAGGCTGATTTGGTGCTGGGCTTTGGCTTGAGCACATGGGGAAAAGCTGGGCAGAAGGGAAAGGAGCTCAGGTCAGAACTGCTGAGCTCTGGGCTCACACTGCCACAAGAATGATGGGCAAGTTCCGATTCAGGTCTGGGTCCAAATGTCTCTGGACCATGTTCACAGGGCTGGAACTCTCCTCCCCTGGGCAGAATTTGGATTTGGACCAGAATGTTGTGGCCTTGATTGCAGAGACCTTGAATGCAACCTATGGAGCCCATTCATGGACAGACTCAGGCATTATCCCCATGGCTTGTGCTCAGCTCCAGCCAACCAGCAACCCATGCAGTGCCCAAGCCATCACCCCCAGGGATTAGTCCTGGATTAGGCAGCAACAACGACAGAGCGTAAGAAGGTTAATGTGGCTTTTGTCTTGTCCAGACACCAAAGAGTTAAAGCTGTGAAAGAGAGAAGTTAGGAATTAGTGGCAGGAGAGGTCTGGGCAGATGCCCTGGGGAGGCTGAGCTGAACATCCAGGAGAGGATGGCATGAATCCATTTTGGTCTGTTCCTGCCAGCCCCAGATGGAAAGGGGGGCATGTGGAGGGTCAGTGGGTAAAGTCTTTGGCCCCCAGTCAGTATGCCACATACTGCAGGGACAGAGGCAGTCCTAGGGAGGCTCCATGGAGGAAAGAGAGATGAGGGAAGGAGGGAGCCTAGAACAGAGGATGATGAGAAAGCAAAGGGGTCCTGTTGGACTGGAAGTCCCATCCAACAGACCCTGGTTCTCTCCTCTTGCACCCTTCCCAGCCCCATCCCTGGGTCCCACAGACCTTCACACCTCCCTCATGGATCTCCACCATCTCCTTCATAAATCTCCTATGCACCTCCTGCAGTGTCCCATGGTCCTCCATACCCTACCAGAAATCCCCAGGCTGGTTCAGTCCTGGGCCTCCATGCCATCCCCCTGAACCATCCCTCTCAGTGAGTCCTCCCAAGCCTCCTCTATAGCCCTCCAACACACCCTTCCTCATCCTGCCACTCCAGGAGCCTCTGTAGGTCTCCCATGTCCTCAGCTCACAGTCTTCTGCACACTCTTCTGTACAGCCCTCTTGGCATTCTGCCCCATTCAACATATCTTTCTACCCTGGGCCCTGGACTAGACTTGGGGCTTGCCACATGGGGTATTTAGTACAGGTTAAATTTGTGCAGTATTAAAGTTATGCCATGTTATGGGCAGCTGCACAGTAATGTTTATTATGATCTAACATGCACAGCTCACTGATTGTCAATCCCAGCCTCAGCAGCAGAGCCTCCTCAGTGAGGAAAAAAGCAGGATCAGGCTCCTGGTAGGCTGAGGTGCCGTGATCCCATTGGGGCATGCTGGTTGTAAAGCAGTGGGGGGCTGTGAAAATCAGCTCCTCTGCTGGCTACTGTCACTTACAACTTGAATGGACGCCTGGGGGACCAGTCTGGTCCGACGACATCTGAATGCGTGTCACTTAACACGAGCTGGAGATACTCTTCCTGCAAACAGTCTGAACTTTGCCATAAAGCGATCACGCTTAGCACGTGTTTTACTGCTTGAACATGGGGAAACTCATGTTAAGTGCAGTTAACACGTCCTTAGTGTAATGGATGACATGGCCCTTGGAGTGCGACTTCAGACTGGGGGTGGGTGGGAGAGAACCAGCACACTGTCCATTCAGTTTCCTGCAGCTTGGTAAATCCCAGGACCCCTCAGAAAGGCAGTTTCTCCCTTCGGGGCAGTGAATTAGAATGGACGTGGCAATAGAGCAGATGTGACCAAAACCCTTGCTGAACTTTTACAGCCACCAGCTGCCTCAAAGAGACCCTTCCTCCCCACCCTGCTCATTTGGGACCCTTGCAAGCCTCAGTGAGTGGGGTTAGTGGAACGGACGGAGACAGACAAACGGCACAGACACAGCTTAGCCTGGAAGGCCTCACGCAGTGCATTCAAGGAGACACAGTGGGGTCCTGGCGAGGGGGGGGTTACCAGAGTAACCGGGCCTGCAGCGATGCTCTCTGGGAGGAACCCTGAGACAGAACGGAAAAGGAGAGTTGCATCGGTATCGGCATCAGAGGGGACAGTAAATGGTTGGGCAAAGGCCCCTGGCATCCCAGGGCCCAGCAATGCCCTGAATCATTACTCTTGCAGGCATCACATACATGGCCCCCCCTTACTGCATCTCACCGTTTTGAAGGCCTTTAACTTCCCCACCCCTTTGCGAGCCCTGTGTTTACAGATGGGAACTGAGGGACAGAGGGGTCAGGCAGAGCAGGCATTGACCCAACATCTCCTCTCCTTGCCTGCATGAATACTGGACGAGCCTCCGTCTCTGTACTTCGGCCCAAAGCTGGACGTCTCCCTCCATTCGCTGCCACGTGGCATTGCCAGCCCAACCATTCAGGAGTCATGACTCGGGTCTTACAAAAATCACAAGAGTGGTTTAAAAACACATTGTTTTTACAGCTACTAAATGCTGAGATTCGTTACTTTGACTTTTTAGTGTTCAGCTGTCAGGGGTCCCATTTTCAAGATTTTTCCCCATTATTTTTTTTTTATTAAGTAATGAAAGCTGAAATTCTCATGTAATCACAGGACTCCAGGAGCAGGGGCTTAAGGAAAGGAAGAGTTACATTTTGAAAACTGGCAATATGACGTTGGAGCTGGCATCCCTACTGCTGTGGGTCCAACACAGTCCTGTCTGGGCTGGCTCTGTTGATCCCCTCATTGTCTTTCCCTTAAAACAGGGAGACCTCCAAACATCCCTCAGGTTCTAGAAATATTGCTCTGGCTGAGGCTGAAGCCTGAGTCAAAGTGGCCTAGTGTTTACATCAGGGCCTATGATGAGGGAGTGCACCGTGCCCATCGCTCTGTCAGTCCAGCAAAGGGAAGGCAGGCTCAGTGCCCTGCCCGCGTGCCCCCCAGTGGCTGATGCTGGTACAGCTCAAGCACAAAAGGCATCTTGGACGTTGAAGCATCCAAAGTCCCAGAGGAACAAGACACGTCTTTTATCCTGAGCTGCATCAACCCACAGATTCTCACAGCCAGGCTTCACTGGTTCTATAGCAACCCAGAATAAGGAATCAGCCCCCTTCGGTTGCTTTCCACCATGGGAAAAAATAAACGTAGCTCTGCCTGGCAGCCTCGAGAGACAATGGCTTAAGTATACCTGTGAAGGAAAAGGTCACATGAACCCTGTAAGGTGCAGTATCAATAGGGCACATCATTTACTTCATACTTGTAACATGCATTATGCATACAGGTATCACAGTACTCGTAAGGCAAGTTATAACTCCATGACCATAGTTTTCAGTGGTGTCCACATGCCACAGGGTTACCACATAGCTTCCATTTTAGCGTAACTGTATTTCACTTGTCTTGTCACCCTGAACCTGCAAATACTTTCTGATCAGCCTAAAGGGGCTTCATGGACATCGACTGTGTGCACCAGGTTTGCATTTGGAGAGCAGAGGGAGAAACATAGCTGGCTTCCCCCCCCCTTTGACACAGAATTACACCTCAAATAAATACATATTTCCTTTTACAGATTGGAAGAACTGAACTGGTAATACTGTTAGCAGTCTGCCTGTCTATCTGTCTGGCTATCTATCTTTCTATCAACATCTGGCTTTGCAGAGAAGCAAAGAGGGCTTTGGAGAAGAACTCTGAGGGTCCTGCAAGTTGTCAGTAAGTGACTAAAACTTGTGAGCCTAGGGCTGAAGACCTGCACTCTGATATCTACCTTGTAATTCTTCTGGGCTCCATGAAGCTGGGGGAGTCACGTCTCCTCTTCCTGATGGGGGAATAACTTCTGGAGCGGCGCCGGGGCCGGGTGGGATCAGTATCACTGTGGCGTATTCGGGGCTCACTGTCTTTCTCTCTGAATCAAAATCATATATATGTTAGTTGCACCTACTTGCATGTTGGCGCACATGCATGTCTGCTAGATGCCTGGACATGTATCCTGTGGACAAATTTGAGGCCATGGGCATGATTCTGGCTGTGAGTCCACACGTACACTTATGCATGTGTTGACAGGTAGGTAAGTCACTTGTGAGAGTTGAACTTGGAATGTCCCAGCTAAAAGCACACACAGATACTATTGAGGTAGGGAAACAGCTCCAGTAGCCCAGAGGCAGCAGTACGTTTGTAAGCCCCTTTGAGAGGACCCATACATGGTACTGGCATCCATGCAAGACAAAATAGAGATGGAGAAGACCTACCAGTTCCCACCATGCCTTGTAGACATGTGTACATCAGTACCTATAGATTGCACATCAGTTGCCATCAACTATGATGAGGGTAGCCTGCTCTGTGTGGGGCCATCCCTGATGACTGCTCAGAAACCCCCAGACAGTGCAGAACATGGGGCTCTCACTGTGGTCAGCCCCCTCTGCTCCAGAGGCTGCCTTGGGACTGCTTGAGTCACCTGCCTCTCTACCTTTCTCCAGTCCCTGAGGCCAGTTGGGACACTGAAGCTGACAACTCCTAGATTAGCATGTGTAGAGAACGGAAGGGATATTTGTAAGGAAGAGCCCCTGATGTTGGCCCTTGTTCCCCCCACCTTGGTCAAACTGATTTGATCTGGTCATGTTACAAGATGCATTTATTTACTTAGGCTTCTCCTGATGGAAAAACTTGGTGCATAGGGGCTATATCTGAGCTAATCCATATGCTGGTGCCCATGGCAAGGACACCATGTATGCTGGCTACACATCTATGGTTTATTGAAGTCCTTGTGTGTGTTGGCATTGTAGTGTCCCATGTACCCATGTGGTGTGCTGACATTGTGTATAACAGTGGCCACATGTCTCAGTACAAATATCCCCCCACCCATACAATCCTGTCCCAGGGGACACATGTTGCAGGTGTGCTACCTGCTTGCAGTTTTTTTCTGTGAAGGAGACCGAGTCCTGCTCCGTGCTGCTCTCTTCTCCCGAGATCTGGACCGGGATTTGGACAAGGACCCACTGGAGCTCCAGGAACTGCTCCGGTGGCCCGTGCTCCGGGACACGCTCTTCTTTCTTTCTGAGTTGTGCCTGGAATGCTTGATAGGTGACTCTGAGCTGCTGTTTGGCCTGCCACGATGGTGTCTCTCCTTCACCCTGGAAGACCAATCAATCAAACCACCAATCACAATAGCATCACAGCACACCACAGCATGGCATAAAGATTAACCCCCTGAAAGCCAGAATTCCCATCCAGCAACTGCTAACACTGTATTTCCAAGGTGGTGGGCAACCATCATCCCACCTCCAACCATATTCCTTGAATGTGGGCATCCAGGAACATCAAGAACCCAAGCCTGAGCATCCACAACTCCAAACCAAGTCAGTGGGACACTTGGATGCTCTGAAAATCAGTCCATAAATGTTCAGCACCTTTACACTGTACTTAATGAAAGGATTAAAGATCCTTCTACTCTGTACGAGAATGGCTAAGTCTGCTTCCAAGGCATACACCATGTATATCTAACCTGCAAATCTCACTGCCACAAGATAAATCTGAGGCCAAGTTTAAGTAGAATTTAAAGGAGTCTTAGACATTTAGGTGACTAATAGAGCCTTTGACAGTTACATTAGATGAAATAAGGACCTGTGGATGGGAGTTGCTCCAGGGAATAAGCCTACTATTCAGTTCTTGGGGTCAGAAACAGATTATTTCCTCTCTAGCCACCAGAGGAGCTCTGCCCTTTGCTCTGCAGCCTCTGGTGCTGCCAAGGTGGGGACCCTGGAGTGCCTGACACCAGCTCTTACTTTTTTGCATGAGCCCCATGGTTCTTCTCCACCCCTGGCATCATGTGGTAGGGGTGGGAGCAGGCTGATCCCTCCGAATCACTACTGTAGCCTGTGTTGCTGAGTGATCGGGGTGACTCCTTCTGGGCTGAGGGCTTGGCCTTGCTCCGGCCCTTGTGTTTGTGCAGTGAGGTGGAGCGGGAGCGCCGGCGGTGAGAATGCTTGTCCACTCCAGAGCATCGGCCTCCTTTCTCTGGTGACATTGACCTGGGGCTCCTGGCGCCATGTCTGCTACTCTTGGAGCGGGGCGACAGCAACTCAGTCTTGACATGAGCCCTTGAAGAAGGGGATGCGGAGTCCAGCCTCTGACAGGAAGAAAGAAAAGGGGGGATGGGGAGGGAAAGAAGAGAAGAAAGAAAGGGGGAGAAGTCTTTAAAGGGAAACCCCAAGCCAGAGATGCAATTCACAACGTCAACGCACATTGCATAAGGCAGGCTACACAGACTCTACTCTGAATCTTCCTCTCCTGCTCAGCCTTTTGACCTCAATGCAGCTCATGCAAATCTCCGCATGCAAAACGCAAAGGAAATCCAGAAACAAAGTCATAAGGAGGGAAGGGAGAGTTCGAACGAAAACGCATCTGGAACAGAGGGAATGAACTAAATAAATAAAGGAAATCAAATTGGTGTAAAAATCCAAACAAACTAAGAAAACCAAGGAGGGTGGCAAGAAGGGGAAAATAAATTGGACATAACAGGAAAGAGTTAACTGAAATGAACCAGGAAGTCAGAGGAGATGGGTCTGAGGGGAGTAGGAATGGAGTAGAGGTTCTTCCCATGTATATGCATATATATGTATAGAGGCATGTTAATATATACATATATACATCTGGATTTGGGTTGGAAACAAAACAGGGAGTGAGGAAGACAGCACAGAGATATGGTGAGGGGCAGGGTAGAGGTGGGGAAGTCACAGAAGGGACAGGGGAAACAAAGTATAAAAACAAAAAGGAGGAAGAAAAAACATTTAAAAAAAAAGAAAACTCCACAAATGTCATCGTTACTGAAATAAACGAATGTTTCTGAACTCTTCCTGGGATACATTTTTTTTTATCTGTGACCCTGCAGGGCACTGCTGAGCTCACATCAGCGCTCTACAATGACTCTTGCTTTCTGTTTCTTTTTTTTTTCCGTTAAATTCTGTTTTTTTTTAAGTCCCTCTTGGTTAACATCCACTTACCAAAAAAGTGGCATTTCCTCCTTTAGTAGGTAAGGTATGAAGAGAAGGGAAAAGCGGGGCAATATAAGTGCATCATTAGATTCACAAAAATGCAAGAGAGAAAGAGAGAGAGAAAGAGAGAGAGAGAGAGAGAAAGAGAGAAAGAGAGAAAGAGAGAGAAAAGAGAAATAAAACAAAACAACTCACTTCTCCTAGGCCTCGGAAACATCAATCATATGAGAAACCAACTCTAGGTGGAATTACATATGCATCAGCTCTGCATTATTGGGAAAACACTTTAAGGGGGTGAGCATTTTTTGGATGACTTTTCTTTAAAAAAAAATCAAACCCAATGTCATTAGCGCCTGCACAAATCCCCTGATGCCCAACTATCTGGGTATTAATAGTGGCCTGGCAGGTAGAGCCCATGAGGAATTGCCAGGAACAATTTTTATAGGCTGTTTTCATGTAAAGCAATGAAATATCCTGGTGTGGTCGGGTGCAGGACTGGGGGACAGTGCTACCAGCAAGGCATTTTTTTTCTTCCAGTGGAGTATATACAAAGGCCCAGATAGCACCAAAGAGGCCTATGAGAAAGCAACACAATTGTACATTGACTCTACTATGACATGGTGTGAATCTGCAGGTCGGCTTGGATCCCATGTTGCATGGAGCTGATGTTGCTTGATATGAAATATACACATATTTGCACACAAAGCACTAACTTTGGAGGCCTCTTGGTACAACAGAAGGGCTAACAGGAATGGAGGCTGGGGGGAACAGTTTTTTCACAGAGCCTAGACCAATCTAAGCGAGAGAAAGTGCCATGGATGTTGTTTAGAACAGCTGGAAGGGCCTTTTTGTTTCACTTCTACTGTTCTCTACAGCAGGGTAAAGACCAGCCCCGGAAACAACAACCTACTTCCCAGCGATAACTGATAGCTCAGGCAGGCTGAGGGCAACATGGTCAGCCACTGAATCCCTTTAAATAAAAACCAAGCAATACGTGGTACCTGTGTTTCTCATGTGAAGCTATGCTGTTCTTGGAATCCTTCCCCAACCAGATCCTTTGCCTATGGGGACCTTGTAACACTGGGTGAACATGACTGAAGTCATATCCCCAAAACCCCTTTGGTAGGGAAACCAAGGCACAGAGCAGTCAAGTGTCTCAGTCACAATGAGCTGCTAGATGCATGGGGATGTGAAAACAAGAATGCCCTGCTCCTGCCTGAATGGTCAGGCTATTTCCCTCATGCTCATGCTACCTACTGGAGAAGGCCAACTCCTGGGTTTCCAGTTTACTCTCCAGCTATCTGTATAATGCAAACTTAGCAACGGGTCCTTTCTCATCATCAGCTGTGAAGAACAGGAAACTGCTATGGAGATCAGGTAGGTGGATCTTAGTTTAAATCCCCCAACTGTCTGCTTTACTAGGATGTGTCTTGAAATCATGCTGGTATTGCTTCAAGGTGTTCTGGGAGCCAGAGCAGAACATAGGCCCAATCCAGTGTCCACTGATGTCAAAAAAAAATTCCTATTGACAACAATGAACTTTGAACTTCGGGCCCTATGAGAATGAAAGTCTTCAGAAACCCCGCAAGCTATTATAAGCTGGGTCCTATGGGGGTACATGGATATGACTTGGGTGTACTAAGCTGGGTACTATAAAGGGTTCTAAGTCCATGCTTCTCTCAGCCCCACTCTTCCCTCCCTGTTTTAACAGTGCCACCTGCAAACACCCATTGACGCAATTGCTTTCTTTATGCCTCTGACTTTCATTCTTACCAATGTGGCTTTGCATACTTCCATGCAGTTCAGAGCAGTGCTTACCCTGAGCTTTGCTGGGCAGGAGAAGCGCTGACAAGAATAAAAGTATAAGTCCATCACACCTATGTGTCTTCATCTTATCTGCAGAGCTCCCTGCCAGTCTAGTCTACCCTGCAATATACTTCCTGCTGTTCCAGGCCTAGGATCCCAGTCTGCCTGTGCTAATCCTCAATAGACAGTTAGCTTTGTTAGTCTGAAGTCAGGCAGGTGGGGGAGGGTGGTACCTTAGAGACTAACTGGTTCAGAGAGGGAGTGGCTTTCATAGGCAACAACTTCTTCATCAGATGCCAGGAATGGACAATTCTTAGTCTGGTGAAGTAGGTTGTTACCTATGAAAGGCCATGCCACTCTGAATCAGTTAGTCTCCATGGTGCTGCCCTGACCTGCCTTCTGCCTGTCCTGACTGGAGGAATACCAATAGCTGACCTTTCAGTTCTGTCAATTACAAAACAATACATCTAAAAAACTAATTTGGGTTTCACCTGAACCAATACTTAAAAAAAAAATATTCAGTGAACCAAAATGTTAAGAAAAAATGTTATGGGTCAAACAGGGCATTTATTTTTTGCTTGAGTGTTTTTTAAAGGTTTGTAGAGGGGTTTTTTTAAGTAGAAATGAAGGAAAATCTATAATCAAAAGCCATTTTGGATTGAAAAACTGAAATGATTTGACTTTTCCATTTTGTTGTTGATGTTTTTCTGATTTAGCAAAACCAAGATGGATTGCTAAAGATTTTCATGTCACCAAACTTCTACCAAAGCTAACCACCCCTGAAAGCCAAACAAAAAATGGCCCAAAATATCACTCTGCTCTGTTCTTGATCAATATTTTATCTTCCTGCTATTCCAGCCCTAGAATCCCACACAGTTTTGACGATACACCTCAGTCTTGATAACAGCATGTCATATTCAAGAAATCCTGACTTTTATTTCCAAGCACAGATCACCATTTGGCTTGATCAGGGTAATCTTGGTCTGTAGGACAGAGATTGCACTGGGATAGATAAGTCTGTTGCCACTTGTGGCAGTCGCTGTAGCTAGAACCCTAGATGGAAAAAGCTGGTACCATCAACTGAAGCAGTGCTGAAGGTTTTCTCCAGCTTTTCTAATGGTGAATACGGCTGTTAGGAAAGGACCCTGATTGCCAGCTCTATAGGCTGATTCCTCCATTTAGATGTAGGCAAGGAATTGGCAGCCCAAGGCTTCCCTACAAATCATAGCACCTTGCAACCAGTCAGGACTTCCGAATACTGTTGAAAAAAAGCTTTCTCAAATGTACTGGGTGTTTTTCTTGTCTTTCTCTCTCAGGTCTGAGATTACCAACCCTTCCATGAGTCTCATCTGCTCCCAAACCCTTCCATTCCCAGCATAGTCCATTGCTCCAGGATCAGCTCTCCAAAGCCTGGCATCTGTGGGCAGTAGCAAGAGAATAAGAGAGATGAGAACCTCTGGGGACTGTCCATTTCAAACACCTTGAACAATGGTAGGAGTCTGGGTAAGCTAAGAGTGAAACCCAGCCTTGGGCAGAGCAGACCTAAGACTTACATAGCACTGCAGTCTTGCTATAAGAGCATGCCAGATGGGAAGCTAGCCCTGTCCCCAGAGACAAATTTCCAGAACTGTGAGGAACATACTTGGATTTGACCACTGCCCTAGGACATCCTCCTGCTCAGATTCTCCCACGCAGGGATCCTTCATGCCATGTGCTAAGATTTATCCTCCTCCACCCTCAGCTTCTTTGCATCACAGCACAAGGATTCTTGTCCCTGTGCCATCCCAAATGAGGCTCTCTATCTCATGTCCAAGGATTTCCTTCTGCATTGCAGCTCAGAGATTCTCCATTCTCCTTAGGATACTGCAGACTCCAGACTCCCTTTCTTGGGGTCCCTGCTTTTTATCCCACAACCTGGGGGTTCTCTAAATGGGGAATTTACTTATCATCTCAAGCTTCTGCCCATAGTGAAATAAGAATGAATATCAGCGCCACCTAAGGGATTGGTGCTGATGCCCATTGCATTTACCACAGCTGCACTGGGAAGTGGCTTTTATCCTCTCTCTACTTCTCAGTCATTTGATCCAGCCTGTTTCAGGTAGATGAGAATGCATGTAAAGCAGACAGCGCTGGGCTCTGCTTCACATCCACATCACAACTGCCACCACCAGTCCAGGGTAGGAGAACCAATTAGATGTGTAAATATATCAAAGGAATAGAATTATTCCCACAGAGAGGTCTCCAATCCTGTTACCAAAGGCCACGTCCAAAATAAAACCAATTTAGGCTCCTAAAGTGCCACATACTGGTGGAATTTGAGAACCCTAAC